ATGTATTATATGTAAATGTATGATATGTACATGTATTATGTATATGTATTATATGTATGTGTTTTATATGTACATGTATGATATGTAAATGCATTATATGTATATGTATTATATGTACATGTATGATACGTAAATGTATTATATGTATATGAATTAAATGTACATGTATAAAATGTATATGTATTATATGTATATGTATATGTCAATGTATATGTACTAAATGTAAATGTATATGTATTTGACTACGTATATGTATATGTATGAGAATATGTATATGTATATGTATTAAAAATATGTACATGTATATATATATATATGTATGTATATGTATTATATGTATGTATGTGTATATGTGTGCATATGTGTATGTATGTGTATGTATGTGTATGTATGTACATGTATGTGTATGTATGTGTATGTATGTGTATGTATGTGAATGTATGTGTATGTATGTGTATGTATGTGTATGTATGTGTATGTATGTGTATGTATGTGTATGTATGTGTATGTATGTGTATGTATGTGTATGTATATGTATGTGTGTGTATGTATGTGTATGTATGTGTATGTATATGTATGTGTATGTGTGTATGTATGTATGTGTATGTATGTGTATGTATGTGTATGTATGTGTATGTATTTGCATGTATATGTATGTATTATATGTATATGTATGTGTATGTATGTATATGTATGTACATGTATGTATATGTATGTATATGTATGTATATGTATGTACATGTATGTACATGTATGTACATGTATATATGTGTATGTATGTGTATGTATGTGTATGTATGTGTATGTATGTGTATGTATGTGTATGTATGTGTATGTATGTGTATGTATGTGTATGTATGTATGTATGTATGTGTATGTATGTAGGTATGTATGTATGTGTACGTACGTATGTATGTATGTACGTACGTACGTACATAGGTATTTGTAGGAAAATGGCAACATGTAATTCCAAATGCATTTTACTGGGTATGTTCCCTTGATTGTTGACGTGGCATGATGTCCATTCACAATATATTCAAGTGTAAGAGTACTCTCCAGTCGCTTCAATGTATGGGCCCTACAACACGGTCTGAACCATCATGGCAATGGCCAGTGATCCAGTGATCCACTTGGCCCACTGTCATTCATTTTTTGGGGGTTCAAGGCATTGATTGGAGATACCCCCTGGTAATTTGTAACATAGCTATCAAAAATGGCTGTTTATAGTTGATTGGCCTATAAACAATGATGACTTTTAATAGCTATGTTACGGCTATGTTAGTTTACCGGAGGGCAAATACTTCTACAACATCCCTTCTGTTTTTGGTGGACCCCAACGCTCGTCCTCCTTTGGGTGCCAGAGCCGTGGCAGGATCAACAAAAGTGGTGAAGTCCCCGAGTCGCTCCTGGGTCCAAACCCGAACATGGGATGCAGCTTGTGTCCGAACATGGGCCCGATGGCGCATTCTGATGCCTTTTGCATTGGGTTCGCTTGTAATTAATCCTAAACCATTCATTGCGCTCATTCCGGAGGTGCGAAGTACACGGGTACAGGGTTTTCACCCACAAGAGTGCAAGTCGTTTGACCCTGCTACCGTGGTTTTGATGCCAAAAGAACTTGGAGTTGCGGATATTGATCCCATATCATAATCATACGTTGCACGAGTACTTAAAACTATGTTTACCTTACACTAGTGATTGGGGTTTAGTTTGCTCACCCCATTGACAACTGGCGGTCTCCTACTTCTGCATGGGATTCCAACGGATACAATATACAGGGACAAAAAGCAAGCAAACAAGTTTAGGAACAACAGAGAGATGGGGAGCACCAGCACAAAAAAAACAATTGGCATGTATAGGGTTTGACTGAAGATAGGGCACCCTGCAAATTGGATGTTTTACCATCATAATCTGCAAATCACGATCGAAATTGCAAGTTTGTGGGTATAGCCCATTTTTAGTCACCCGCAGTAAAGAAAACAACACAAAAAAATTGATATTTACCAAGATCTAGTACCATTTGGGGATGGTTTATACAACCCATTTATGGTGATTTTAGGGCTGGCTTCTTATTGGGTTTACGTCATTGTATAATATCATACACAATATATTATATATAAAATATACCACCAAACAAATTACTTCGTATTGGTCAAGTCCAGGGAAACCCACTCAGTTTGGTTCCATGTTGCTGGAATATGCCCCACATTTTTTCTTAGCAAAGTGTTGTAGGTTTTTCCACAGTAGTCCCGTTTGCATCGCCTTTACATTCCATTATACCAGTATATCAGTATATGTTAAATTGAAATCACCATTTTATTATATCAAAATATCATATCATTGAATATACCGTTTGAAAATTTACCACTGCATATCATTTAACCATTCATTATATATATATTATTACATATTATATTACATATATATATATATTATATAAATTAAATTGTTGCTGACATCACCATTTGTCCTGGTGATTTACATCCCCAGCATCCCCCATGGAGCCGCCTGCAAGAGGGATCGAAGGTGATTGAAACCCTCTTCTGCGAAGCCTGGAAATTTGGAAATTTGCGATTTCATTCGTCGCATCCAAGTGTTTAAAAAATCATTCAACTGATTTTTTGGGTGTTCTATGTTTTCAATATCATGGGTTGTCCATTAAATGATCGAATCCTGGGTCAATTTCGAATAATTTACAAACCTGACATAAAAGACATTTTGGGATAATTCTCCCAACTAACCAAAGTCATGTTGGGTGACGTCGCGGTTAAGATTCGCCCTTGATGAAGCGGAACATTGCTGGGGAGGTAACCGACCTGGGTATTATTTTACCCAGTGAATGCCGAGACTTTCTATGCTCAGGATGTTTGCGATTCCCATGACGGGTTTGATGGCCACATCCCATGTACCATGTTTTTTGATCATGGTTCATGCATGTGTTTGTGTGTTTTTCGCTTATGAAATGGTCAAACATGAGAATGAGGTCACTATTTTGTAGGTGACTATTTGGGCTGGGTCTGCGCAGGTGAAAAACATTTTTAAACACATGAAAAAACAAATCAATAACATGTTTAAAAAACAACTAACACAGGGCATGGTTGATTGCACATTTCCATACAACTAAGCACGGGAACTGGGCACCCTGTGACTCACCCAATTCAACAAAGCTCGGTCACAGAGTGGGATATCTGGGTTGGCCATCCAGACGTACCTGCTTGTAAATACCATCATTTTTTGACATAGTGTCCAGCCAGGCTAAGCTCAAACCTGGTCTTGTCCATGCTTCGGCTACATCATTACCTTCCAACTTGGATACAGCCCGAACAAGGTCTACCAGGTAGCAATGGCCAAATCTTTTAAGTTAAAAACCCTGCAGATCGAACTACGCGCGATTCGACGTAGCCATTTTGGAGCCAGCTCCAATTCTTAAAACCAGTCCATCATGTGGCTGTTCATGTCGCCCCAGCTTATATAGTCCGGGGGGGCTCCCTACCTCTGTGTTGCAGGGGTAGTGTGCAAACTGGAAAGATCAGGGACCCAGTTCAGGCTCGAATTGCCATCACAGGAAAGAGGCAAGCAAATAAGGGCCCGTGCAGGCTTAGACCCACATAACTCTAGAAGGGCCAACTTCAGGCAGCGCCGCACGTAGTCAAAGACAAGGAGAACACTTCAGAAGAACACGTGCAGCTTTAATGCATTCACAACCAGATCGCAGCTATATTTGCTTGATGATTGTTTTTTTTTCAAGGTTTCCCGGTTCCCCCTCCCTTTTCGGTGTTGTCCTTTTTGCGTGATGTTTCGAATTTTATTAATTAATTGTTCTATCTTATTTCAGTGCAACTTGGAGCTTGAACAATTAATACTTTTTCTCTCTGAGTTACTGTCCGTGAAGCTTCTGGGATGGCAGCAGAAGTGCACGCAGAGCAACAGCAAGTCATTTGGATCTCCGTTGAAGCGCAAACCCCGTCTGATATACATGATTTGCCGTGTCAACTTCGTCTGATGGCCATCGGGCAAAGCCCGAAAAAACAAGGATGTTAGTCTAGCAGCATGGTTTGACGCGTAATTTTTTGTCTGATGGCCATTGGGCGAAGCCGGAAAAACCTAGGATATCAGTCTAGCGTATAGAAGTTTTGGCGCTTAAACTTCCTCTGAGACTCTGATGGCCACATATGGCCACTGGGCAAAGCCGAGAGGGAAAAAAAGATGTCACAGTCTTTGGCGTGCGCCGCGTGCGCCTTCGATTGCGTAGGTTTCGTCTGATGGCCACTGAGCAAAAGCCGAACAAAAACCAGGATGTCAGTCTAGCGTGCGCCTTTGGCCGCGTAGTTTTCGTCTGATGGCCACTGGGCAAAGCCGAAAATTCCACAATGTCAGTCTAGCGCGCACCTTTTACCTCATAGGTTCGTCTGATGGCCACCGGTGCAAAGCCGGAACAACCCATGATGCCAGTCTAGCGCATGCAGGTTTGAGGGCGACCATGGCTGACGCAACGGGTTCAGCACATATTGCGTATGTTGGCGTTGTGTCGGAAGCAAGTATAGCTATGGGCTTACATGATATTGCTGACAACTACTAGAACAGCCGCAACTCCGACGCTTACAGATGCCAACAAGGGCGTTTCTGAACAGTTTTGCAGGATAGCAACTAGCACCATTTTAAAATAAACATGTGTTCATCATTGCCATAACAAGCCGGGCCCCCTAGTGGGGCATGTTTGCGTAAACCCTTCTAATATAGGGCATGGTTGACTGCACATTTCCATACAACTATGCAGGGGAACTGGGCACTCTGTGACTCACCCAGTTCAACGAAGCTAGGTCACAGGGTGGGATATCTAGATTGGCCATCCAGACGTGCCTGTTTGTAAATTCAATTTTTTTTGGCATAGCTTCCAGGCTAAGCTCAAACCTGGCTTGCCGATTTCCCATTTCATAGAGACGATGATGTGTATAGAAGCGTGGACATTCCTGCATTTTGGGAGTAGCTGTGTCTTGTCCATGCTTCGACTACATTGCTACATCATTACCTTCCAACTTATGGGGGGAGCATATCATGTTCCACCGCTGTTTTGATAGCTTGTCTGGCCATGAAATGATTGAAATGATAAGAGAAAAAACTGTCTTTGGGTACTGACGTACAGTTTGATATTAAATCAATGGTCGGCAAATGGATGTTCGTACCCTCAAACTATGGTACAATAGGTTTTGACCCGTATTTTGAAAGTCTATACTACTTAGAGGATTTATCATTTATCCATCTCACTGTAGTTTGTTAACCTTCCTGTCAATGGCTTTCAAAGTGTTATCCCGTCAATTCAATGTCAGAGTCTCGTAGTTTCTTGCCAGCTGACTCGCTCATCCTTCGCTTTTTGGATCATATTTTACAAAATGTTTCACACAGTAAAAGGCAGTTATTAGTATATGTAAAGAATTATAAAGATATGCAACCCACCTGACCTCTATTTTGGATCCCCGTTCGAATACAATGAGGATGGGCACACCATCGACAGAGAATGGGTGGACCATGGTGAACCCAGGGCTTTGGACACAAAACACTCTCTGGATCACAAAAACAACAAAACACTTTCTAGAAAACATAGTCAGTTTTCCATGTCAAAAATACCAGGCAGTATGTCTAGAACATGAGGTATTCACATTATACAATGCAGAAAACTCGAACCACAGTTTTCTGCAAAATGACATCTGGAACTGTTTTTTCTACAACATGACATACCGGAATTTGGGTTTAGAAAACGCAAGATCTATGCGTATCATTGAAACATTTCAAACCATGGATATAAACACCATATCTCAAGAAATGGAATGCTATGGAATGATGACATTATGCCACTGATGTCCGGCGCTTCATTTGTTCAAAAAAACACTGAAACCTGGCAGCTATCCACAAAATCTGCAAAATGGGTCTTTTGATGTCATTTGAATCTGTCTGCATTCTAGTACAACACTATGAAATCGGTTTTCGACAGTATGATTCTACAAATGTGCATTGTTCCGCATGATCACCTCCTTCTAGGAAACGGATTGTTTGGCAATCAGGTCGTACTCTCAGAAAAAAAACAAACCAACATGTATTCTTTCGAAGATGTGTTTTCCAAAAGGTTCAAGTTCACGAACAACAGTCTTCTAGAAAATGCCTCCGAATTCCAAGCCCAAGCCATGAAAACCAACCTCTCTCTAATCCCATCCCCATTAAACACCCCAATGGTCCCAATTCATCCCAATGATGTGGAAATTCCATACATCCACCATGGTTCAGGCCCCCCGCATTCCCTAAAGCTTCTTTGACGGGAGCGCTAAGCTCCGTTGCTTCCCATCCCTACGGGTTTGACAAGCAAGACTTATACCCAATTATACTAAATCATATTGACCACTATATATAGATTATATAATATTGTATGATGAGTAATGGAGATATTGTAACATATAGTTTGCACGGATACTAATTAATCACCAAACAGTGATGATATATGACGTATGATTCATGTGTGCGAATACTACACAAGTCCTGCGAATATGCTGAGCCAAGATCATACATCTGCTCAACTGAGTCGCGGGCGGGCAGCATTTTTTTCGATCTCGAATCTCTCAAAAAGCTTTGGTCTAAAGCCATGTAGGAACTTGGTTAAAGAGTGCTGTCCCTTCCACCTCCTTCCACTGATAAAGTGTATATATTGACGCTTGCAGTGAGGCTCCGCGGGCTGATGCGGATGGCATGCTCTCATTGCCGCATTGCCGTAAATTTCAAGAAATGAAATGGCAAGACATATCAAGAAATATCAGGTAGATTTGCACTATTATTTGATATACATTATGAGTGTACACTATTATATTATATATATTATGTATATACATAGTGTATAAATATATTACTTGATTATCCTGGTTGATGTTAAATGTCTTTTTTTGGCACGGGTTAAAATCTGTGAAGGCGCCTCGGCTAACAGGAATGAAACCCCGTCATCACCAATAAGTCCAAAAGAAAAAAAAACGATGTCGTGGTGTCGCAAACATAACAAGAAACTGTAACCCATTCAAACACTATTGAATGTGTTTCACGTATGTTCATATCATATACACAGAAATGAAAATAACATATATATATATATATATAAATAATATATATATATATGATAGAAAATTATATATATATATATTATAATATATAAATAATATATATATATATATATATATATAAATAAATATAATATTATTTAAATAATAAAATATAACATATATATATAATATTATTGATATAATATAATATATATATAATATTGAAGACAAAATGAATAATATAATAAAATGTAAATATATAATATGATATAAATTATGTTTAATATACTATAAATATGATACTATATATATATTATATATAAAATAAATATATATATATATATATATATTATATAAATAAAATACAATAATTATAAAAGAAAATAAGATATATATGTAATAAACATATATATAATAATATATA